TAATTGCATTGTTTTCGTTTGACTCCACGCTTTGTCCACCACGCTTTAATAGTTAGATTTTGTTTCACAGGCTTATTTACCTCTATTATTCACAATAAAAAGTAACCACAAATATGGCATTTAATTGCTTTTAATTTTTATCCTCTCCAACTTTTTAAATTTGCAGTCGCCCTATCTCACTATGACGTCACATGAAAATAATATATTGTTTGAACGCTAAGGATTATGGTTGCCAGAAAGGTCACAAAACTAAAACTAATCGGCATGCATTTCCTAGACACACATCAAAAAAACTAGAAAATGTGAAGTTCAACTTTCGACTACAAAGAAGAATTATTTGAAATTCTTACGATGTTTTGAGCGATTCTATCCTATTTGCAAACATGGCGTGACGTCATAGCGAAAGAAAGCGATGTTAAATTCAAAGAGCGGCAAAAGCGGGCCCTCCTATGAACAAGAGTGCCAAGTCATGTCAAAACCATGACTTCAGTTACCAGCAAAAACAGTTTTGGTAACATTGCAAAAGTTTAAACAAGCTCAAAAGGGAATATGCTTTGGTTGCTGCCCGATTCTGCCTCGCTTTGGTGCAGAACCACAGGCATCCCAATTTGATTTACATCCGCGGAAATGTCTATTGCTTGATGACATTCCCCTTGAATTATATGGAGAAATAAAATGAATTYATTTCGCTCCTTATGTCAACTAGTTCAGGTCCTTCAAAACTTGCCATGTCACTCCTTGTTGTGGTATCTAATGATTCTTTAAGAATTGAAATTGAACAGAAATATTTTTTGTCTTCGATTTCTCACTGTATTGCTTTTTTGCCTACCCAAAAACATGATGGTCAAAACCGTCGCTTGACCTATATTGAATGGTGCATCTTTGGGGCATCTTTGTTTCATTGTGGTAATTAGACATATTTCCCTTGATATGTAGTGTTAATTTCAACGCGCACTGTTTGACAATGCATMTGCGTAGTTTGTGACATAGCCACTTCAAAGGTTACACATCGCCAATAAGGGAAAATTCCATTGTCACTAAGTGCCTTCATATAATAAGTTACGGATTTTGATTAGGGAAAATTCCCTTTGACTAGTGTCTTCATATCAATATGGATTTTGATTAGGGAAAATTCCCTAAGTGCCTTCATGAAAATTCCCTTCACTAGTGTCGTCATATCAAAGTTACCAATTTGTTCCTTTATTATTTGAAGGTATGAATTTGATAGAGATTTTTCTTTGTGATTTAGTCAATTTTACACTTCATAAGGGTTGGTAAAGCTTCCTGTCTTTGACAAAACGACCCATCCCATCCCATGTGATTTTTGGCGATTTCAAAAGAACTACTACGACGACACCAATCTTTACCTTGTAAACCGTTGCCGTTTATTATTACTGAAATTCATACAACTGGACAACTCTTTTTTCAAGTCTTAATCAGGCAAAAATAAGCTCATTTGACTTTGTAGTCATTGTTTCAAATGTATCCCCATTGGAGGGAGATGTGTTTTATCTGATAGGCTCATATTTCAACTTCCAATAATTATTCAAAAATGCAAGCCTTCTCATATATGGTGTGACGCTAGTATTTGTCTCAGTTTCCTCCTTCTCTTTCAAAAGACTGTCTGGTACGCCTGACGTATGCAGGTATTGGGAGGTGAGAATCTTTAGTTAGTTTTTGTAGCCTTCTTCTCTTTTATTTTTCATCGATTTTAAGTTTTGATTTGTACATTTATAGTTACTCATTGGATAATTTACGCTTAAGTCAACGGACGCTGGTCTGGTGGAGCGTCTCGCGTTGTCTCGTCGAGGTAAAGATTTCAAGTCTTCGTTTCAACTCGTTTCCATGTGCTAAAGTAATAGTTTAAAAACGTAAGTAATGAAGTAATGATTCTCAAACGTCAAAAACCATATAAATTATTCAATTCTACGAACGTTGTGTACATTTTAAAGCAGACTGTTGTTTATTTAACTAGACGCATATAGCTGCGTGAACTCGGGTATAAATTAAATTTCAAGTTAAATTTCAGTTTTTCCATAAAATATTGTATACTTTTGTCGTTTCGTTAGTACTTTTGCATGCTGGTCAGTATATGAATTTAAGTGGCACAAGGCTGAGTTAAAACCCTTTAACTCCCAAATGTCTGGGGAAATTTTAAAGGTGAAAAGCTTCAAAAAACGATTTCGGCACTGACTTCACTGTTGTCAAGGGAACTGATGTCGATAAGCGAAGACGTCTTTGGACAGCGAACAGTTCGTTCTAAACACAGCAAAACGTGGTTATTAAGTGTTTTTTTAATCAAACTCTAGCACAAGAGCCCCTAGATTTGCATTATTGAGCTCGGCTAGATGATTTAGGACTAAGAATATTGTTTTTCTGTTCAGAAGGAAATTAAATATTCACTGCTATATACGAGGTTAAAAGCATGTAATATATTTTTCATGGCACAGATCCTTGTGTAATACACAACCACTTTGTGTACAAAAAAGACAATAAAAATTTATGCTTCATTGAAGCCGAAGCTTGCACTAAAGAGAAATCAAAACTGGAGTATTGATTGATGGTTAGCTAAAGATAACACTGGCTATCCCATTTGAAGTCAACTTTATGTTGACGGAGTGTCTAAACGTCAGGCAGCCTGACGTTTAGTTCTGGGACTAAACGTCAGGCAGTCGAAAAATCTCAAAGTGCCGTGCTTGTGTTTGAAACTTGTCGAACAGTATTATTTCGGTCTTGATTGCATTTCCCCTGTTGTATTAATTGAAATTACGGTTGTTCCGACGATTTTTAAAGAAAAAAAATCGACTGCCTGACGTTTACACACTCCGTATGTTTTATCACTGTTGTATAGCATTTTTTGTTATTTTTCTACAGTAAACTCAGCAACAATATTCAAGATGTAGAGAGAAAAAAGGTAAAACTATTAATTTGTTCACAGATTTAACATTCCACTAGTTTTGAAAGGATTCATCAATGCCTAACTAAACTTGAGTTAGTTTCTTGTCTCTATTCTCTCTTTTGTAACTCGTTAGCTCCCGGAACTTAGATAGTTATATTATTAGATTTTGCAAACTCTAAAAGCGTTGTTTCAGGTGTCCATCTGATTTTTGCTCATTTTTCAAGACGATTTGTTTATCGCAAATTTCTCATCACTTAAAAAATACCGATTTCATGGTAGCATGTGATAAGTAAGGAACTGAAACCATGTAAAAACCAGTACCGTTAGTTTTTGATGTGCAATATGTCATAAAATCGAGATTTCCATTCTTTAGTATATTTAACAATTAGACCTCGAGGTCGAGTGGACTACGAGCTAATAGCCCATGAGGCCGAGTCCGAGAGGCCGAATGGGCTATTAGCTCGTAGTCCACTCGACCTCGAGGTCTAATTGTTTTAGTATAAACATACTAATCGGTCAAATAATGACAACAAATTGAAGTATCCTTAAAATAATGTATAATTTATAATTTGTTTATTTTGATTTTCCCGCGAGTGGTCTATCACAAATTAGACCATTAGTAGAGTAGCCAATCACAGCGCAGTATGAGTGATAGACCATTAGACAAGTATGTTTATACTAAAGTTGTTTATGTTTTTTTTATAAACTGTAGAGGAAGAGTTTAATACAATGATGCTTATCGTGCGTAATGTCAAAAATAGAGCGGATTTCGTATGACTGTGCGAAAAAAACGGTACGTTCGTGCTGTGTCCGTACCGTGCCGTAGCCTTGATGCATTGGAAAATCTTTACTTTCATTTGAAATCCTAGATGGCGAGGTTCCGTGACCGTGTCGTGCCGTGTCCGGTGTTTGTGATCCGTGCTTTTGCACAGTCATAGGAAATCCGCTCTATTCTACGTATGTAAACAACAGTCATTGATCTATAAACATTAACATTCTGCTAGGTTTGCCGCAGTTTCACATTGAAACAAACATGACAAGCAAGTATGAACAAACATAAACGTAAATAACAAATAGGAAAAGTAAAAGAAAAATAAGTGTCAAAACTTAAATGCATGTTTGTTGCAGCTTATTTTTATAAAGACACGTGGTCAATCCAATCAAAAACCGCTATTGCCACCAAAAACAAGACATTCATCACAACTTGCATAGCTTTGAAACTGAATGACATTCAGAGATGAAGTTGCGAAACGGTTTGATCCAATATATCAACAGGTCATGCCGACAAGAAGAGCTGTCCGCATTCGCATTAAAAGAACAATCCTTTCACGCAAAGAAATAGAGGTGCAAATCACACTATGGTCTGCTGTAAGGAATGCAACCGACAAAAAAAATAGCAATTCATATTTAACCAACTAGAATTTCAGAAATAAGGCTATAACATTCCAGCATGGCAGGTGTAGATTCTGCTGGAATATCATTGACAAAAGTTGTATTACATGGGGACTTAGAACAAGTGCATCGACTTATAGAAGGCGGAGCTAGCGTCAACGCGGTAAATAAATACGATCAAACGGCATTAACGATTGTCGCACAAAACCGGACCTCTTTTACACCTGAAATGGCGATCTCGTTAATGAGCGGTGAAGCTGATGTCAACATGAAGGATAAAAAAGGCAACACAGCACTGATGTATGCTATTTGTAGGTTAAAGGTGGACACTGCACTTGCAATAATTGAGCAAAGCAATCTAGATCCAAATGCTGTGGATTATCGAGGACAAACAGCACTGATGAAAGCTGCTTTCAGTGGAATGAGCAAAGTTGTCAGTCCATTGCTCCAATGTGGTGCTGATGTCAACATACAGGATAAAAAAGGCAAAACAGCACTGATGCATGCTATAGCTCGGATAGAAAAACGCATCGCACTTGCAATAATTAAGCACAGTAAAGATCTAGATTCTAATGCTGTCGACAATCAAGGACAAACAGCTTTGATAAGAGCTGCTTTCGGAGGAATGACGACAATTGTCGATGCACTAATCACACGTGGTGCTGACGTCAACATCAAGGATAAAAAAGGCAACACAGCATTGATGCATGCTATAGCTCAGAAAAGTGAAGATATTGCACTTGCAATAGTTAAGCGCAGCAAGGATCTAAAATTAAATGCTGTTGATAATCGAGGCCAAACAGCATTGATGAAAGCTGCTATTAATATAATGTCGACCATTGCCGTTGAACTAACCAAAAGTGGTGCTGATGTCAACATGAAGGACGAAGAAGGCAAAACAGCATTGATGCATGCTATTGCTCAGAGAGACGAAGACACTGCTCTTGCAATAATTGAGAACAGTAAAGATTTACATTTGAATGGTGTCGATAATCAAGGTCAGACAGCATTGATGAAAGCTGTTATACATAGAAAGACAAAAGTTGTGCAGGCACTTATCCAATTCAATGCACTGGTGGACACAAAGAATCATTTAGGCAGAACAGCATTGTTTTATGCGTTGGTCGAATCCAACTTATCTGCTCGATATCTTGTAGAAAATGGTGCAAATCTTCATATGACAGACAACTGTAATGTCAGTGCGTTATCGTATTTCATTCATCACTGTATTAATAACGGAGGGGCCGATGAGAAATTAATGGAAGAAAAGTTTGCTTTGTTGAAAGATAACGGAGTCGAAAGAGAAACGATAGTGAATGCACTTATCAATGCAATATTCTGTAAATTGCCACTTTTAAAAAGTCCAGTAAACACCATCTCAATAACGTCCATCACATCATGTCTTGCTTATGCTTCCAAACTTTCAAAGAAAAGATTTAGCTTTACGAAAGATAATAAATGCAGATTATTGCAAGACCTAATTGTTTCGATTGAAAGAGACGGATATCTTATGTCAGTATCTGATTTATCGATAAGGCTCGATAAACTTCTGGAACTTGATGCGGATCCAAATACTTGTGATGAGCAAGGCAATACCATTGCACACTACATCACTTTACTAGGGATGTATGATAACTCTTTTGAAGATAAAATTGTTTTTGATGTTCTTCTTTGGTTGGAGAAAAAGGGACTGAAAATCAACAAGAAAAACTGCAATAAGGAAAGACCTCTTTTACTTATGCTAACAAAAGCTGTTAACCATGATGAGAGAATTAGGCTTAATGATAAATTCATTTTAGATGTGTGCAATGTTTTCCTTGGCAAATACAGAGCGACATTAAAGGAAACATCTCAAACCGGCGATTCAGTATTACATCTTTTAATCAAGCTTTCAAGTCTGGGAGATATTAACGAGGAATCTTTAGAGCGATGTATAGTTGAATTATTACGATTGTTTTCTCATCAAAGATGCGAACTCAGCCGTATCGTTAACATGCCTAACAATGAAATGAATACTCCTCTTCATGTTTGGGCGGCTGGCCGATCCAAGCCAAAATCAAGAGCATGGGAACATAATCAGCATGCTTCTGAAAAAATGGATTGGCAGGGACCCTCAGAAAATATACTTGACCAGCTTTTGTGTTGTGGTGCTGTGCATCATGCAAGAAATCTGAAGGCCGAAACTCCTCTTCATATGTGTAGAACCTGGACTGCCGTTAAGCTATTGTTTAAAGCAGGAGCAAAGACGAATGATGTAGACACATTAGGACGATCTCCTTTACTTTCAGCAGCAAAGAATTGTCTATTTCTTAACAATCCCGGCTGTTTTTATCCGGACGTTTCACCAGACGAGGCACCGACGTTTTGGAAGACAGTTATGGACATGGGTTTTGATTTGTGGACTTGCGAAAACATTGGAGATTCTATCATTAGTATTCTTATAGGGGAAAACTCTTTTGAACTAGCTGATGGCTTAATTGAAATTGCATGTAAGAACAGCCAAAGTCTATCGGATAAAACTTTGGTGGGCGTGTTGAATGCTATCTGCAAAGATGAATCCACTCAAACAACCTGGAAAAGTATTCTAGTTGAGAAATGGCTCAAAAAACTCAAATCCACAAGACGCTCATTAGATATGAGCTTACCTCTTCGGTCCTGCTGCATGAATATCATTGATTACTATGCTACAATAGGGCGAACAGAAACAACTGAATTTGACTCTGTTCATTATGAAATTGTTAAACAACTTCTACGCTACGGTGCATCTGGTGAATCTTGCCTGGATGTTGCTGAGGGATGTCCACCTCTAAAGACTCTACTTTCTACCCCTGTCTCAATGGAAGAAAGACCATTTATCATACCCTGGACATCTCTCTCCCAGAAACACAAGAACCAGCTAGCTGAAGTTGCAAGAGGACTCAACTGTAATTTCCAGGAACCATATTGGTATCATAACAAAGAAATCGGACGCGGGGCATTTGGACAAGTCTTCGTAGGCATTCATGGAAAAGACAGCATGGAAGTAGCCGTTAAAAGAGTCCATTATACGCAACAGGATCGAGACCAAGATATTCGAGAGATTAGAAGCCTGGCTCCTCTTCTTGAATGCGAGCATATTGTTCGTTATCTAACTTTCCTACAAACCGATGACTATTCCTATATAATTATGGAACTGTTGGAAGGAAATCTTACCGAGTATTTTGACAGTGCTTTTTACGACCAAAGGCAAACGAAAGTGCTCTGCCGAGATGTGGTACAAGGCTTAAAGTATCTTCATGAACAGAAAATCATTCATCGCGACCTCAAACCAAAAAACATTCTTTACAGAACCGACCCCAAACTTTGCCTGAAGATTGCTGACTTCGGTTTGAGCCGTCGTATAGACGTCATTACTTTCAATACTGTCATGGCCACTGGAGTGGGGACTCGTGGGTGGATTGCGCCTGAGGTTATGACATCTACCGCTCACGAACATTCTAGGTCATCTGATGTCTTTTCGTGTGGTCTTGTTTTTCATTATATCTTGTCAAAAGATCACAGACATCCATTCAGTCCAGCGGACTGCGCTGACAAAAGTGAGCTGGAAATCATACCTAAAACAGAAACAAACATTTTGAATAATAAAATGGAAGGATGGGACAGTGGTCTGGATCCTGAAGCATCTCATGTAATTACTGGAATGCTTAATTGCACTAACGAAAAAGAAAGACCGACCGCATCAATGTTGTTACACCATCCAATGTTCTGGTCAAAGAAGAAGAAGCTTGATTTCCTCAGTGCTGTTGGTAACCAAGAAGAATTCGAATGTCCACGTGCTAAAAGGCCTGCCCCATCATCAGGAATTTTCAACAATAGTGAAGTTTGGCAAGTGGGATGATCCACGGTACAAGCAGACATCGGTGATTTTCAATGAGATGCAAAAGCCAATAGTCAAACATGATAAAAAAGGAAAACCTTACAACGTTCCTGCTAGAAGGTACGACATCAGTTCTGCGGTAGAGCTGGTGCGATTCATTCGCAATGCCATCGCTCATGTAGCAAGTCGAACACCCGCAATCCAGGCACAAATTCTCGATGCTGTATTTCTGGAAGAATTTCCAAATCTCGTGATAGAGGTGTTCAAAGCTGTGACTGCACACGGATGGGACGTTTCTAGAGAGGAAATCAAACATGTCTTGGC